TAAAGTTGAATTGCTGTCAATTCTGTGCCAGTGGGGTTGACTAGAGTATCAAAAAATTTCACTAAGCGGTTGTAGTTAAATATTAATGAATTTATTTAGTAAAAATATTATTCGAAAATGGAAAACTAGCTATTTGAACTATTTTATTAATAATTTTAAACTATTTTAATCAGTTATCATGTACAAATACATAGAAGGGTGAAAAATTTGTTGAGCTCGTGTAGTAAAATCCCGAATACTGGACTGAACACAATTTGGAAACAGTAAAAATAAAATTAAGGGATCGTGGGAAGTGCTTTGAACATAAAGAGTAGATACAATCTACTACTCCTAGGAATATACTTTTTAAGTAAAATTAAATTTTTGAAGCGTTTTGCTTCTCTTAAGTCATTGGTGTTTTATCCTCAGCGCACAAATATGGTGTTCATAATATTTAAAAGCATGTTTTGTAACAACCATACCATTTGCTCAGCCCAAAGTTAAAATCATTTCCACTACATTTTTGATAAATACCGTAAGGAAACGCAGAGCTGCGCATATTTTAATATAGATGATATCGCACTTCCTCGCACACGTTTGTGGAAATCTTCTCTCATTTCATTTAGAAGAAAACAAAAATAAATTATGATTCTGTAATAAACATTAGTTATAAATGGCTTTGTCAATAATACTTTGCCTTACTTGGTGCTTGGAAGTTCCAAAGGATTGGAGTAATCATTAAAAATAGTTGAAAATCATAATATCAAAAAAAAATTGGGTTGATGGGCTTATCTGAATTTGAGTTTCTTCAGTGACAAACACACATACTTTGTTTCGGGGAGGTGTAGTCTTTCTGGTACGAAGAATGTCTTTTAGATCTCAACACTTAAAGACAGCAGCTACCCTACTGTAGTAGACATGTATAAGATGCATTATATAAATACAATATACAAATATAAATGTATCTATTGCTAATATCATAAAAAAGCACATATCTTGCAATCTTACTAATTTTCTTCAGAGTCTAAGAGATAAAACGGAATTGTATTCGTTAGATTATGGAAGTAAAAGAGGATAGAATATAGACCTCTACTGAAATTCGGTGACTTCAGACTACATATCTTTTGTACTTTATTTTTAGGCTTGTCACATATTACGGATAGTTCTTTGGCGACATTGATACACGTTCTTTCACAAATAAACTCAAATTCCGAAAGGACTCCGGAAATGGTAGTGCAAGTTAAACACAGTGAGGACAAGTTACCTTCGGTACAAAGTGAGTAATAATACTACCCACTACAGTCTCCCTTCGAAACTCACACCTTTGTTATGAAAAAGGAAATTAAACGAATGTTGTTAAATGTAAAATATGTATATATGAAAGAATATTTGAAATATAAGAAAGTACTTGAATACACGTTTAATATAAGATAATTTATATTTATAACATATTCTAGAGCTTCTATTTTTAAGCTGTAAAATGGTTAAACCAAATTTTAAATTCACTACTATTTGACTACATAAAGGAGAACATAATCAATATAATATATATTTGAATGATTGCCCGGCTTCCTCTGCCTAGAAAAACAACAATAGATATTTTGTATTAAGTAAAAAAGTATTTTAGTGCTTTATAGTTCATTGTTGTTTTCCATTTATAGTTCATTGTTGGAGTTTTTATCTTTCAACGTTTAAATTTTACTGGAACGTACATTGTTTTTGTCCATATTTCTTTGTTTTCCAGTCTTAATAGCATACTTTTACGGACTACACTAATGATTTTATTTAACTTAATATACATTTTCTGCATCATATTTTTAAAATTTAGCTGAAAAGTAAATTTAAACAAGTAAGGAAGCTCGGGTGTAACCGACCATTTTATACTCTCGCAACTTGCAAGGATCAAAGCCGGGAAATTACTTCAGGTGTTGGCTAAATCTTATATTAAAGAAAGTATTGATCCGATTCAACCCATTTTTTACATAAAACTATTATTGAAGGTTTCATTTTTTTTTATTATATGAAATATATTATATATCCTTCACATTGACCGATGTTTTTTATAAAAAGTTAACTATAGACACTGGGGTCCACATATTCATTACCTAGGGGCTTGAACAGTTTTGGTTCGATTTAGACCATTTTTAGTCACAACGTGGCACACTTTAAACGCATTATTCACGCAAAGTTTTGTGGTCGTGGCAGTGGTCCGATTACGCCCATCAGCAATACCAACCGTTTTACAGACAGTCACCCGGATTTCAACTCGTCTCTTCATCCTGATCATTTATATATATATATAACTCTATATCTAACTCGAATAGTTTTAGGTGATACAAACAACCGTTAGGGAAACAAAACTATTATACTCTGTAGCAACAGGTTGCGAGAGTATAAAAACATACGGTAATCAGTTTCATTAGTTAATTCGATTTCCTCTTTTTTTGTTGCCCAAGCAAATTGTAATATCGTCATTTATATTTATGAATAAATAGGTATTATCAATTAGATATAATTCAGTATCATTCTTCCATTTAAACAGATATATTGCTAACAATTCTTATTATACGTTATATTAAATATATTTTCTTTATATATTAATAGTAGACGTGTTTTATTTGACCGCCATAAGCTAATAGCTAAATCGTTGACAAATAGAAAGCACTTAGCTTATTTCATATTTTCGCTTAAGTACGAATTGTCCTGGCAGTGCGTGCAAGAACAGTTAGCTGATACTTAATTTATTTCAAAATGTCTGATATGAAGAGATTAGTTTCAATTTTTATATTTGTAAACGTTTTATTAACATACAAAAAACTGAAAACGAAAGTTCTGTTTATGCCTTAATTTTAACATAATTTCCATCTACAATCTGTAATTTTGGTTTTGCAAAAACCCAACTATTGTGAACGAAAAAAAATCAACAGGCAAAGTCTCTATTTCAATATACTAGCTAAGATAGCTTTTGATAAGCCAATATAATTATTTTTGCTAAGTCTTCTAATAGGTTAACGTGCTGGCCAAATAAAACACATCTATTAACTTCATGCGGAGCGTTTACATTTATATAATTTTAGCAGATTTGATTTGTTAGAACAATGGTAGGCGAAACTGTTCCTTAGTTGTAACATAATTTAAATTTGGGCTTTCTTCAGTGTCACATTTGTATCAAGATTAATACAATATTTTAATTATTCATTTGTATTAAAAAACATATTATTTAATATCCTTGGAGATATCATATACATTTTCTCTCATTTCAAACGGAATTATACCTTTAACTTATCATTTTGAATTCAGCTTCCAACAGACATACTTTTCTTAAATAAAAGAGAGAGCTGCGATGTTACTATGTTCTGATTCAAATACCACTGACGTTAAAATAAAACAAGTGAATGTCCAGTAGAAACCGATTTCAAACTGAAGAAAACTTTGTGGTAATCAAAAATTCATTTCGAATCCAATCATTTCCCAAATCAAATCCAATAATTACAATTCTTAGGAACAACCAGAAAAAGAAAGAAGAAAATCCTGGGAAATTAAAAGAAATTATTGAAATATTATATTTTATAAATGCTTTATAAGGAAGTTTATTTTATATTTTTCTATAAATATGTAACATATTTCGGATTTAATTTTTTAATAAAATTTTAAATAAAATTAGCGATGATCATTATATTTATTGAGTGGGAAATATAATAATTCTGTACCAAAAGCTCTAAATATCATTTCACAACTAACCCATATATGATCAAAGATGTATATATTCAAATGTTTCATCACTAACAAATTAAATATGAATACATATATATGAAAAGGAGCGAAATTTATTTATGGATTTAAACCTGATCTTTGTTACTAGAAAATGTTTAATTTAACTATTTGAAAAATCTTTAAAAATATATAATTTATCAATTCTAGACTTTAAGTTTCAAAATAAAAATCAGCAAATAATTATGTTATTTAGTATATTATTTATTAGGACTACATTATTATTTAAAAAAATAAACAGTTTATTATATTGTATAATATGTTGATTTGAACTGAGCTGAAAATATTACTGAAAAAAATAAACTATTCGAATGGTTATGTTTAAATTTGAGCGCGGTTTTATTTAGTTGATGCTTAAATTATCGATATCATGTTTGGCTGGCCTAATGTAAGACATCCCGCGTCTGCTTCTTCCGATCCATAAACGATACCTGAGGATATGTTAGTGGATTTACCAAAGCGAAGCTTTCTGCACTGCCACTGGATATCTATTTATGTCCTCCGCGCTGTGCCTTCACGTTACAAGCCTAAACTAAAAATGAAAGGCCTATTAGTACCTAAAAAAACGTTGACGCCTGAATTATATCCGGGAAACCTACCAACCTTTTAAAGTGCTCTCAACCGAACTAGAAAACATGTTCACTATAAAATCGTTTTCTCAGAATATCATTAATATAGAATCAACGTTGACATAACAACATTTATCACGGAGATAGATATGTCAAAATAAGTGACTCTGAAGCATTTTTTTTTGCAACTTTTTCATCGTACAACCTTTGTAAAATCAAAAAAAAAATTTTAGGTGAATATATTTTTTGTTTATGATGAAAGTAGGGGGTGCGTTCGCGATGACAATCACGACAGCAGGGTAGCAAATTTGTCAAAGTATCACGTTCTGCGTGAATTTCTGGCAACATTTTATGCAAATAATCGGCAACACTAAATTTTTGTCTGCACATCAACAAAGTATCAGTAAATATGCAGCACAATGGCTGCGGTAATTATTACGTAGATCGAACGCACCCTAGTTATTGTAGATATCTGTGTGTACCGTTTTGTAACTATTTAAAAGGGGACGTTGAACACACCTAACTATAATATTAGCTTTTGTTACATCAATTTGAAAACGTTGTTCTAGTGCATAGGAACTGTCAGCCTTTATAAAATGTCGAAATGTAAATGTACAAGCTTATAGTTTTAATTCGGAATTTTAATTTTGAGTACACTTTAAACATATACATACGCGATCCTTACAGTTTTTTAAAAATAAAATTGTGTGTATTTAATATATATAATATACAAAACTTATTTACTCCAATGCCATATTTATATACGAAATTATTAATTTTATTTTAAAAAAGTTTGGAAAAAAAAAACCAAATGATATGAACTGATAACAATAATACAAGTAACTTTATACATTGATGCAACCAATATAGCCTAAAAAAAGCAACGATCGCATTATTCATTATAGCAATATAGCAAGGATAAAACCTACCTATTCCACCTTACAAGCGCCTGCGGTATCGTATCAAGTGGGTCATGTAATAAATATTGTCGTATACCTCGGAAGTATTGCTGTAAAAATAAATCCCAATCTAATTGTGTCATATCGAAGAAAAATATATCCTTATCTTTATCGGATAGGCGATGCCACAGATTGATCACATTATCAATTTGGAAATCCCACTGCCGCATTGAGAAATATTCAATCACATGCATAAATCTATGAATCTTTTTGTAAGTATTTAGTAACCTTAAGAGAAACAATAATTAAATATTAAAAGAAGAAGCAAATTAGTAAAGCTCTTAAATAAATATGTGAGTCTCACCGAGGCTTTTTTCCCATGCACATGCAAAAAACATCAAAAATAGTAGCGGGAACATAGTGTAAAAAAAATATTGACATCAAGTGCAGAAACTTGTTCGGAGTATTGGCGTAACACAAATACCAAAGCGCCTTGATTGTGGGATACATTAGACCGTATTTCGTTGTTTTGGTTGTAAAATCGCCCCAAGTTAGCTGATTGGATTTTGATGTGCAGAAATTATAAACTGGTATATCTTTTTCAAGTGTGATGATACTGTAGATTTAGTAGATGTACGTAAAAATTTAGGAACCTCCTTATTGATAGGTAAATTTTGTTCATAAACTAACTCATATCGATCTTACTTGTGTCTCTGTGATATGTCCCACGCCGCTGCAATTATGCTATTCACACATAAATCAACTGGAACCATGTTAGCGACAGCTCGTGGGTCACACCGTAGTGTTCGTATGACACCCGTGCCAGCTCCAGCAATAGCACCTGTTGGCCCATAAAAATTATCTATCCAACCGCAAACGGGATCACGATACGTAGAAATTACTAATAGAAAGGGTTATAAAAAATTTGCTTAAAGAAACAAATCGAAAAAACATAAAAATGATACATGCATATTATAGTTGAAAACTAATATTGCAGAAGCAATTATAGAAATGTCTTTTTTGGAACTGTCCTTTCTTTACTTTAATTTAAAATTTGCAAAACGTAAAAGATGAGTTTGTTGCTTTGCCGTTCTAGACATTAGATAATTTTTATACTCTCGCAACCTGTTGCTACAGAGTATAATATTTTTGTTCACCTAACGGTTGTTTGTATCACCGTCCGTCTGTCCGTTCGTCCGTCCGTCTGTCCGTTCGTCCGTCCGTCTGTCCGTTCGTCCGTCCGTCTGTCCGTTCGTCCGTCCGTCTGTCCGTTCGTCCGTCCGTCTGTCCGTTCGTCCGTCCGTCTGTCCGTTCGTCCGTCCGTCTGTCCGTTCGTCCGTTTCGTCCTCCGTCTGTCGTTCTCCGTCGCGGTTCCCGCCGTCTGTCCGTTCGTCCGTCCGTCGTCCGTTCCGTCCGTCCGTTCTGTCCCGTCGTCTCGTCCGTCTGTCCGTCCGTCCGTCTGTCCGTCCGTCCGTCCGTCCGTCCGTCCGTCTGTCCGTCTGTCTGTCCGTCTGTCCGTCCGTCCGTCCGTCTGTCCGTTCGTCCGTCCGTCTGTCCGTCCGTCCGTCTGTCTGTCTGTCCGTCCGTCCGTCTGTTCGTCCGTCTGTCCGTCCGTCCGTCTGTTCGTCCGTCCGTCTGTTCGTCCGTCCGTCCGTCTGTCCGTTCGTCCGTCCGTCTGTCCGTCCGTCCGTCTGTCGTTCTTTATGAAACTTGGTAGATGCCAATGCTATAATAACAAAATTCACTGGAAGCAAATGTTTTTAGCACTTCCATTGACGGTATGAAAATAGTTGAAATCGGGTGGCAACTCCGCCCACTCCCCATATAACGGTACTGTTAAAAACTACTAAAAGCGCGATAAATCAAGCACTAAACACGCCAGAGACATTAAATTTTATCTCTGGTATGAGATGACTTTATTGGAACCGCGTTCAAAATTAGACAGTGGGCGTGGCACAGCCCACTTTTAGGTGAAAACCCATATCTTGAGATCTGCTTAACCAAATTCGGTACGTAACATTCTTCTCATATTTCTATGTTATAGTGCGAAAATGGGCGAAATCGGACTACAACCACGCCTACTTCCCATATAACACCATTTTAAATTCCATCTGATTCTTTCACTTTCCACTATGCATATCAAGCAACAATGATTATATCGGGGTAAAACTTTGCGTGAATAATACGTTTAAAGTATGCCACCTTGTGACCAAAAATTGTCTAAATCGAACCAAAACTGTTCAAGCCCTTAGGTACTAAATATGTGGACCCCAGTGCCTATAGTTGACATTCTACCGAAAATATCAGCCAATCTACAAAGAAATCTCAAACGAGTATACCATTTGACTTTGCGAGAGTATAAAATGTTCGGTTACATCCGAACTTAGCCCTTCCTTACTTGTTTTCATTTATCAAATTGTCACAAACTTTTTTATTTGAAACAAAACAGAGTAAACGATAATATTACTTCAAAAATCATAAAATTTTTTTGATGATAAACTTTGGTAAATTATTCAGTTCCCCGATTTCGGCATTTCTACCTACTATAATTAAGGTTGATAGTATAAATTATGGTGTAACTATACTAGCACGAGTATAGTAGCCGATAGGCAATCAGTTAAGATCAGGTGTCTACAGTATTTTGCGAGGTTTGGGATATGAATACGTTGATTAAACAAATATTCGTAATTGTCCCTAAAAGTGACATAACATTTGTTTTCGATCAATATAGTTTCCAAGTTTCATCAAAATATCTTAGTTTATATTAAAGCTATCGCTTGCATGGACATACGGCCGGGCGTACAGACACCAAGGTGGAGTGTGTCGTAAGTTGCCCCGTGTCCAGGAGTCTGCCCCCGCAACACCCAACAGTGATGTCGCCAAACAACAGTGCCACAACCGGTCTGTGGGTTGTACAGCTATAACAAACACGACCTACACAACACTTACTCACTCCCAGGATCACCCCTAGATACGAGCCGACCACGCGTATCGATAGCTGCGGTCCAAGAAACTAAATTAAAGCGGCACTCAGATCTTCTGAGTTGAGTAGGTTTCAACGTTATACGTAAGGATCGCGAGCGAGATAATGGTGGAGGCCTACCTTCATACTACACAACATAGTGCAATGTCGTCTTATCGATGACAACATCGACCGCAGGGATACCACCCTTGAATGTCAGCGCATAGCTATCCAGTCAGGCGATGTCGAGCTTAAAATATACATCTCCCGAGTTACATGTTGCCCACCAGGATATCACCCGAATATAGCTGCGCTACTTCGTGGTGAAGATCGTTTGGTGCTAATCGACTTTAACACGCACCACGATCTTTGGCACTCCTGCCTGTTAAACGATCGTAGGGGGATGGAGCTAGCAGAATAGATTGACAATTCGACATTCTGCACAATGAATGACGGAGCTCTCACCAGAATTATTGGCACCTGTAATAGCTCGCCAGATATTACCATCGCTAGTGGCGGTCTGATAAATAAAATAACCTGAAATGTGTTAACCACCGCTCCAGACCATCTGCCCATGATTACCTCGACCGAGAAACCTCCCGATTTTATTACTGTAGACAACCACACCTTAACGTTAACTTCAATAAAGCGCACTGGGTCGGCTTCACAGAATCGTTGGCGAACGTCAATCCCGGTGATCGCAGCTGCTACCGCTCGCTTCATCCCGGCTGAAAGAATCGCGGACTTGCGCCCCAATTTCCCAGCCGAAGCAACTATTTTAGAAAACTATCCCTGTGATCCCCGAAAAGGATCAAGTCAATGATCTATGCAACAAGCTAATCAGTTCGAGCCATCTGAAGCATCTTCTGACGTTGGAAAACGATATCAACGTAGAGCAAAAAAGCTAAAAAATACATTAGACGATTTAAAAAAAAATGAATTGGATTCTCTCGAAAAAATAAGTGACTTCAAAATCAAACTTCAAATACAATATGAATATGTAGAAGAAGCTTATTTTGAAACTCGTAGTATCCAATTAAAGGAAATAACGGAAGATCTATCAATGAACAAAAGGAGGAATTTCGGGTAAAATATACAATTACCCTTGAAAAAATAACAAAAAACTAAAAAAGAAAAATACAACACAACCAATGTCTCCTAATATTATATAAAACTGCAGGAAATTAAAATTCCGATGCTTTATGGAGAAATGGTCGTCATTCCGCGATCTTTTTAAAAGTTTGGTGCATAATTCGAAGCACCTTACTGAAGTAGAAAAAATGTTCCGATTGAAGACATCATTAGGCGGAGAAGCTGGTAGAGTAATTCAACATCTACCAGTAACAGAAACAAACTATGACGCCGCTTGGCATATTCTCCAAGAAAGATATGAGAATAGAAGGCTACAATTTACGACACAAGTAGACAAACTACTTGATCAACCGACAGCTAATGGAGAAAGTGCAGCAAGAATGAACCACCAAAGAATGCATTTATGCTTTAAAAGGATTAAATTTAGATTTAAACGATGAACCAGAAATCATAGCTCGAATAGTGGTTCGAAAACTGGTCAAAGAAAGTCTACGTTTATACGAGCAGAACGTGAAAACAAGTAGGGAAATACAAACCCTAGATGATGTTTTCTGTTTTCAGGAGCAGCAATATCAAGCTCTAGAAGCAATACGAGACAGAAAAACAATCAAAAACAGCCACAGCGAACACCTATATTTTATACAGCTGCACAAAAATATTGTGTATACTGCAAGGTTCCTGGGCATCAAATTTTTGAATGCAGAAAGTTCCAGGCATTGACTACGATGATTCGTAGGAAATTCATAACAAGCAACAAGCTATGCTACAAATGCCTTGATCATGTATATGAAGGCAATTGTAATAATAAGAAAAGGTGCAATAAATGTGGATGAAGTCATCACAATTTATTACATTACAATGAATTCCAAAAAGGAAAATAAGGTAGTGAAGAAAATATCGCCAAAAAAAATATATTCTACAATGATGACGAAACACTCAGAAACAGCGATACTTCTGGCAACAGCACAGATAAGAGTAAAGGGAGCAAATGAAGAGTACGTGACATTGCGAGCTCTAATCGATCAAGGATCTCAAAAGACTACTATTTCCGAAGAAGCAGCTCAAATACTTCATTTACCAAAAAGGGAGAGAAGTAACTGAACTGCAAGGTTTAGGAAATATCACAGTGGGAGTGTCCTCGGGAGACTCTCGCAAACAAGCTATGGCGCGGTTTCTTAATCTTGAGAAAAGGTTCGTTATAAATGACGAGCTAAGAAAACAATATGTGCAATTTATGAGAGAATATTTAGAAATGGGTCACATGGAAAAAGCAAGTGAAAATAAATGCGGAAAATACTATTTGCCACATCAAGCAGTGATTCGAGAAGACAGTCTAACAACTAAACTACGAGTAGTTTTCGATGCATCTGTAAAAACTACAAATGGAAGTAGTTTAAATGATATCCTTTTCATAGGACCGAGACTTCAAAATGATATATTTGACATTATAATCAAATGGAGACTTTGGCAATATGTATTAACTAGTGATATTGAAAAGATGTTTCGACAAATTAAAGTAACAGATAGTGATCAAGATTATCAACGTATATTGTGGAGGGAAACAAAAGGAGAATAGGAGGAGATAGAAGAATACAAATTACAAACAGTTACGTATGGGACAGCATCAGCTACTTTCCTGGCAACGAGAACTTTACAAGAAATTGCCAAATTCAGCGAGCCTCACAACTATTTGCTTTAAAAAATTATTAAAAACGACTTCTACATGGACGATTTAATGACAGGAGCAGATTCAATAAATGAATGTAAGGCCATTCAGTATGAAATATTGAAACAACTACAAAAATATGGATTTCACTTAAAAAAGTGGATGTCAAACAACAGTGAAATCATAGCAACAATTCCAATAAATAGCGCAATTAAAGTAATAAAAATACGACGAAACAATAAAGACATTGGGTATTCAATGGGATCCTACCAAGGACATGTTTGGATTTAATACGAATCTTTCCAAGCAAAAACTAGTTACTAATAGACAAGCTTTATCTGATCGCGAATTTTCACCAATAGTAGTTATAGCAAAGTTGTTTATACAGAAACTTTGGTTGATGAAACTTAACTGGGACGAGTTACTTGACGAGAATTTAACAAAAGAATGGCAAGAGTTTATGCAGCATATACCAGAGATAAAAAGAATAAAAATTCCTAGATGGTTTGAAACAAAAAGCCACTTTAAATTGGAACTACATGGATTCGCAGATGCTTCAGAGAAAGCTTATGCAGCAGTTGTATATGCTAAAGTTGGATCAGTTATAACAATAGTTGCTGGCAAAACTGAAGTGAATCCAATTAAAAATAAGAAAACATTACCAAAACTGGAGCTATGCGCGGCTCACCTACTTGCTAAATTGTTAGAAAGGATAAAAACAGTTATAAACAGAGAAGTAAATATATAATATTTGCTTGGAGCGATTCATCTATAACGTTAGCATGGATAAATAATGGCCGAAGTAAAGACAGATTTATCAGAACAAGAGTAGAAGAAATCAAATTACTTGCTTCCAATGCGATATGGCAACACATTGGAGCAAAAGACAATCCAGCTGATGTAGCATCCAGAGGAGTACTTGCGAATAAACTAATAGATCATTAGTTAGTCATCAGATATTCTAGTTTAATCAAATTAATTAGGGTAGTAGCTTATATCTTACGATTCATAAAAAGAATACGAAGACAAAAATGTTCCAAATACTTAATAAAGTCAGAAATAAAAGAAGCTGAAAAGATATTAAGAAAATATCAGCAAAAATTACAATTTAGAGAGGAAATTCAGAGTTTAGAAATCAAAAAAGAAATTTGTCATTAAATTAGCATTGCAAGCTTAAATCCAATTTTAGATTGTAATGGAATCCTTCGTGTAGGAGGTAGATTAGGTAATGCAAATCTTCAATTTTATCAAAAGCGCCTAATAATATTAAATAAATCACAATTGTCATCATTAATAATTAAAAATGTTCATAAAATAACCTTGCATGGAGGAAACAAGTTAATGGTATCAATAATTAGAAGAAATTACTGGATTATTGGATTGAAAAGTTCCATAAAAAAGACAATTCGAGCTTGTTGTAGATGCATACGTTACCGCAAAGAAGTATCAAAACAATTAATGGGAAATCTTCCAGAATTCCGAGTATCTAAGTCAATTCAATTTACACACGTTGGTATAGACAATGCAGGACCGATTCATATGAAATGTTCAAACGGAATAGGACAAAAAATATTTAAAGGATACATAGCTGTATTTGTTTGTATGACAACAAAAGCTATTCATTTAGAGGCAGTAACTGATTTAACAACCGAAGTGTTCCTAGCTGCCTTGAAAATATTTTTTGCTAGAAGAGATAAAAGTCAACATATATATATACTCGGATAATGGAACAAATTTTGTCGGAGCTTGTAGAAGAGTAGACTGAGATTTTAAAGTAGCAATTAAAAAAAACTCAACTGTAGCTCCCATTTTAGAAGCTGAGCAAATTTAGTGGCATTTTGGGCAGCCGGCAGCTCCTCACTTCGGAGGAATTTGGGAAGCAGGAGCAGGAGGAGTCAGTTAAATATCATTTGAAAAAAGTGATAGGCGAGAGTAAATTGACATTTGAAGAAATGATTACTTTGTTATCACAGATTGAAGCAGTACTGAATTCACGACCTCTATGTGCGATAGATAGTGAAAGCGACGTTTTAACACCTGGTACTTTTTTAATAAGATGTCCAATAATAGATTCTCCTGAAGCAATTAATGATACACAAATAGGTGCATTAGATAGGTGGAAATTAGTACAAAAAATTAAAAGAGACTTTTGGAAACGTTGAAAAAACGAATATGTTGTAATGTTCCAATGTAATGCCAATCTCGCAGAAGGACAGATAGTAATTATTAAAGATGAAGAAACTCATCCAGCCAAATGGCCATTAGGTAAAATTATTAAAATTCATCCGGGACGTGATGAAGTATAAGAGTTGTAACTCTAAAACTACAAAATGGCTTACTTAAACGGCCTGCTCACAAATAATGCCCACTAGAGGTAACAAACACCAGTGAACAGAAGAACCAAATCAGGTTACAAGTTTGTTGACTTTAAGAATAAAAAAAATGCTACAAACTCAGAACAGCCTAGTAGAACAAGCAAATTGATGATGTGGTTCTTAACGTTGCTCATATTAGCAACACCAGCAAAATCATTATACATTAATGATACAGCTAAGCCAGGAGCTTCAGTAAAAAGTTCGCTCGGTTTTTATCTAAGAGATGGCGTTATTGTCCATAGTACTAGTGTTAAGTGTCGCATCATGTCATACTATACGGCGCTGAAAACGTGTTTATTCGCGCTAAAAGTTTGTCTTTAACAGTTTTTCGATTGATTTACTCAGTTCGTTGTAAGCGCTCGTGAAAAATGGACACCAACAAAGAGAAAATTCGCTATATTTTACAATTTTTCTTCGATCAAAGCGAAAAAGCAGCCAAAGCAGCTGAAAACATTAATTTAGTTTATGGGCCCGATACTGTAAACGAACGTGTTCCGTTCCGGTAATTTCGACGTCAAAGATGCACCACGCGTCGGGAGGCCTGTCGTCGAAAATTGCGATAAAATCATGGAAATAGTGAAAACAGACCGTCACGTGAGCACTTATTTAATTGCTGAGGAACTAAAGATAAGCCAGAAAACCGTTTGGAACCATTTGCATAACCTTGGATTCAAAAAGGAGCTCGATGTTTGGTTGTCACACGAACTAACGCAAAAAACATGATGGACCGAATTTCCATCTGCAAATCGCTGCAGAATCGCAACAAAATCGACCTGTTTCTGAAGCGGATTGTGACTGGCGATGAAAATTGGGTCACTTATGACAACATCGAGCGCAAACGGTCGTGGTCAAAGCTCGGGGAAGCGGCCCAGATGGTGGCCAAGACCTGATTGACGGCCAGGAAGGTTTTGCTGTGTGTTTGGTGGGATGGGCAAGGAATCATCTACTGCGAGCTGCCCTATGGCCAAACGGTCAATTCGGCCCTCTACTGACAACAACTGGACCGCTTGAAGGCAGCACTCATCCAGAAAAGGCCATCTTTGATCAACAGAGGCCGAATTGTGTTCCATCATCTTTTCCTGTCCATGGCGAACGCGCTTAATGGTGAGAAGTTGGCCGCAAGAGAGGCCTGTCAAAATTGGCTCTCCGAGTTTTTTGGCAATAGGGACGCAGTCTTCTACGAGAGGGGTATAATGAAGTTGGCATCTCGTTGGCAACAAGTTTACGAACAAAACGGCGCATATTTGACTTAAATCGGACAAATGTACACAAGTGAAAAATCAATAAAAAACCGAACGAACTTTTTACTTTACCAATATTTGGATCCGATTAATAAAATGGATATAATAAATTCAAAATGGAATTTAAGAGTCTATTACAAACTAGGTACTTATCCAAAAATAAAAGCAGAATATTTAATAAACAAGTTTGATTTGAATCAATATTTACTTATAAACCAAGTAGATCTAGATAAATGTTCTACTAACTCGGAAAATCATTACCAATGTCCTGGAAATTTAGCTTGGAAATCAGCGACAGATAATTTATGTGAAATAGCAGCCTTGAAACAGACAATATATGGATAAAATTATCTTCTCAAAATCGTTGGCTTTACAAATTATTTACCAAAGCAATGATATATCTAGAATGTGATAATAATCAACAAATATGTATGGAAATCCTTAATCAAGGCATTATAACAATAAGCGAAGGATGTACAGCCCGACATGAAGGAGTAACTCTAACAGCATCTCATCATATACAATCCGAAGTTAATAAAGAATTACTATCCTCTTCTTATACAATTGAAAGGTATAAATTTTCATCACGTAAGTGGTCACATTTCGCTAACTTTGGTTTTAATATTATTATTCATTTCTATTTTATATACTTATAAGATCAAAATGTGTAGCAAGAACTTGTACTATTCCATTTGAACTGCCAGAGAGTATCATGTGTGTATACGTATGTATTATATATAAGTGCGTTAGATGCACTAAGTCACACAGTGAATCTAAACAGTTGTAAAATATCGATGCATTGGTATCTGAAGTATGCAATAAAAATAAAATACATATTTACACATATGTACTTTTAAGCATACACACATACATATATACCTAGTTAAGAGATTAGAATTAAAAAATGTATTTAAGAAAGAAATTTTAATAAATATAAGCAGAGTCAAAAGTAAACTCTCAGCGTACAGAAATAAATTAAAGAGTTTTTCTGTACACTGTTGAAGGCAAAAAATATAATAATACATATAAAAGATTTACCTATGCCAGGTCGAAACATGCCTACTGGCAATTTATTTCCGTACATCTTGATTATATCCTCAGCAACAGCTTTTGTGAAGGTATAAGTGTTCGGCCATTTACCTAATAGTCTAGAATTATTTATATGTATATGTGAGAGGTAAGTTGAATGTGAACTTAAACAGACTTACACAGGCGTCATTGACTCCAGTAGCTTATCCGGCATGCATTCTGTCAAAAGTATTAAGTTTTTCGAATCACTAGGTGGTGAATAAAATTTCTCATCGATTTGTCGGAGGGGGCATTGGGTATATGCTGTGGAGATGTGCAAGACACTTTTTAGATGCTTCATTTCACTACAAAGCAACAAAATATCGCGCGCTGCCTTCACATTAATTTGCATGGCTACTTTTAATTTTTCATCAAATCGCACTGTTGCTGCCATGTGAAATACTATATTCACTCGTTGAGTAAGCAGCTTTCGATCTTCACCACTGAGACCCAAGTCGGGCAACATGCAGTCTCCTGCAATGCCTTGAAATTGATGACGAAATTTAGGTGCCACTTTTTTCATTGAATTAAAAATCTGTTGAATTAAGAAAGTTTCCAGCAAATGTTTTGAAATAAGTGTACTTAAATTCTAAGGCGAATATCTAGAGTAGCTTACCGGGTCATCAAATATCTCCTCCGCACGTGTGTGTACATCCTTGTTGTTTTTCATTCGAATTAAAATATAAATATTTTCTATGCCAGGGCATGACGTAAATAATTTATTTAGTAATACTATAATAAGCGGAACATAAAAGTCAGTAACTAAATGAGTACATCTTTGTTTTATAATTAAAAAACGCGTCTTACTTTTTCCAAGAAAGCCTGTTCCTCCGGTTATTAGTATATTAGCACCCTCGTAGAATTTTTGAAGTGGAGTTGCCTTTTCTTCTACCACTAACTCGCTTATGTGCATAATGTTGGTTTGTTTTTACTTTAATGACAATTAAATCCAAAATAGTGGCTTTCACTTTGCAGCCCTTTTATAAGCTTGAAAAGAATAAAATATGATTTTATTGGTATATGTACATTAGAGTAAGTCGATTTTTTTTCTAAAAAATCGCGTTTGCGAGAAATGTTCTACGGATCATTCTAAATATTTTTGCTTAGGAGAATATGGGTCTAAAACCGGTTTCGAGCCAACGATTTTTAAGCGAAGTTTTTTTTTCAGGATTATAAAAAATTCCTCGTCAGTTTTTTCGATATCCCAATGAAATTTAATACATTGGTGCATTTTAAGATTCTATTGTTCATTTGTCGGTATCGGAAAAATCATACAACTATGTCACATATCTCCCATACAACCGATTATTCAGTTATTTTACTTTACGGTTGGCTGCCTTTATATGACATTATGACAGTGAATTTGAAGAAAATCGGACAACTTAACAAAAGATATGTGATATAGTTGTCTGATTTTCTTTCGTCTCGGGACCGTTGATGAAAAAAAAAGACCTATCGGCCGGAAAAGTGATGGCCGTAGTTTTCTGGGATTTACGTGTGTGATCTACGGGCAAAACGATCACAGAGAGCTGAATTGCAGAAAAACTACCAATTGGCGAAGAATAAGGTGACTTTTCAACATGACTTTCGCCATAGCCACAGCCAAATTAATCGACTTTGGCTACGAACCCCTTTCTCACCCACCGTGTTTTCCAAATTCCCGTGAGACGTATTTTTCAAGAAGTTAGTAGTTTGTTGGCTTGCAATTTTTTCTAATTCTTCTTTTTTAGGCTAAGCACTTATCAGGCCGCCCTGGTATAGTGATCAATGACTCTTTTGTGATATTTTGAAAGAATAGGATATACTGATTATATTTAGAGGATATACATACTTATTTTTATTCATGAAATAATCCCTTATGTGATAAATGTGAATGTACTTAACTTTGTTCGTTACGCTTTTACGCCGAAACCACTTAACCAATCATCATGAATCTTTGTACACATATTTCTAATGGTATTAGAAACGATATATGATATTTATTATTAAAAATATATGTATATATTTTACGTACGAAAACATTTATTTCGTCAGAATGTTTTTTGTAGAAACTTTAAAATTGAAAAAATTTATTCTTGCACATATATTTGTTTGTAGAAAATATTAAAATCAGGTAAAACAAGCCCACAAAAATGCATCGAAATGCATCGTTATGTTTAATAAATGAAAAAAATTTCCAAGACACATTTTACAAGAAACCTTAATATTGTTATAAATGTTTTTTGTTTTCATCTTCATGTGTAAATTAAATTAAAGTTCTTCATATAGTATGCATGGAGAAAGAATTAAATATGTGAATATTTTTCAAAATAAAAATTTGTTGACGATTTTCATTGATACTTCCCCTGGTATGAATTTTTCGACAATCTTTTATTATTACCGAACTATTATTTTCCGATCTTGTCGATTATTGTGGATCCGCCACTGCCTCCTCTATATTGATATTGTAAAAGTGCAATAACTTTTTATTGTTTTTCAAAATCTTTCAATTTATAAGATATTTTCACAAATTATCGCCAATTATTTCTGCTAGCTTCCATATAACGCCTATACAAATTTATTATTTGACCATTAACAACACAGGACTAGTACGTGTTGTATTCATTGATAATACTTTATTGAACCTAAAAATGGAGGAAGTCTGATACAACCATTGAAAATGTTTTGATACTATTGAAAACGATGTCGAATGTTAAGTAATATAGTGTAACTAATACATTTATTTTCTGATATGAATTTAAATACACCTATTTGAAAAAAGAACTATAGTAGAGGTGTTGTTTCCAACACCAAGGATTGTTAATGTTGAACAGATGAGCTGATCTAGACAAAAACTGAACGTTTTAAACTACCTGAAAGATATCTTAAAATCATTTCTCCTTAAAATTAGTTTTGAATAAACAACTTACAAACTTACCGACAGAGAAGTGAATTTAAACAAATATGTTTGGCTAAGTTTCGATACTTTGAAAATTTGGTAACGGTACTAGATAAACTGTAGTGAATAATAATAAGTATTCGTTTTCTTCAATTACTTAATTGACCTACAAAGCCAAATTCTTTGAAATCGTGCTATGTATACGAATACGTACATACCTTCGCTCCAACCAACTCTCTACATACCTAGTATGCGTGAATTTTTTTTAAAATATTTATATGTACACTCATACATACCTATGCATGCCGTGTCCCAGTTCAAAGCTGTTTTATAATGTATTACTTTATATATTATAGGGGCAATAGCTTTAATATTTATAAACTAAACGAAATAGACGTTGTAAATTTTACAATTTTACTATTTTTCAGGCTCTGTCAGGATATAAACCAATTACATATATAAAGTTTTTATTTTTTAATTTTTAAATTTGCCTCATAAATAAAGTCAATATGTCCATTGTATATTCAACCGGACAAAGTGCAAAATTTTTACACCGATTCTTATGAAGCCTTTAAGCGCCTTTTTTAATGCTGTTAACATATTTATTTAGTTGCCTATCGCATCTGCATTAGTTTTCAACATAACCTTTGTATTGAGGAGTTCACACTGTATGAGATGTGAAATTCTCGTTCTCAGCATGCTTAGTTGATATAACTTTAGTGGTTAGCAAGACATTTTTCCATTTGGACACGTCCACGCCCTGTCCTACTGCAATTCCCTACACCAAATTACAATTTCGTAGCCTTGTTATAACACATTATAATTTTTCGATTAACAGCTTTTGTGGGACAATGATCCAATTCCGCCCATATACAAAACATTGAACAAGTGTACCGAGTTTCATTCAAATCTATAACTTTTTACTACAGCTATCACTTGCACGAATACACGGGTTAAGTGACAAAATTATTATACTGTGTACAGCGAATTGCGAGAGTATAAAAAGTCTTGTCTACAACCATATTTGGTATCTTATAAGCTTATACTATTAGTTCTAGACTTACATATATTAATTACTACAAGTCAACTAGTTTTTTGCTAGATAACAATTATTATATATTATTATATTTAGTCTAAAGTAAATTAGGGGTGCTCACGTCCTAGCTTACTTGACTTACTTTGGCTCGCAACAACATAACTTTCAACAAGCACCTAATTTTTAAAGCACTAAGTTGACAACTATGATTAAAACAGATGCTTCAGAGTTTAATTATTCACATCATAACTTAAAACAAAACAAGATGCCTCAGAGTTGAAATATTCACAACATAACTTCTTGTAAACTAAAAACAAATGCTTCAGAGATAATTAATACTTCGCAAAATTTAGGTACCGCGAGTTACCAGAGGAAAGAATTGGTGGAACTAGCTGAACTTTATTAAAAAATTGAAAGTAGCGGTTTTGTTTGGGAAGGCTGCAAAGAATCGGGTGTTTTAAAATAGAATAAAACCTGCTAGCAAAAAAGACAACATATTCTCATGCTTTGAATCAAGGCCTTACTATTGCATATATGTATATATCGGTTAGAGAAATATTAAACCGATAAAGTCGATTCAACCTTAGGTGTGCCCCTGAATAAACGACATTTTGTTTTCACGTAACTTCTGTTGCAGACATTTCGTTTTTTTACTGAACATACATTTTTCTCCTCTAATTGAATGTACCATTCTTCACATTGTTATAAATATAAAAGATTTTATATCATTTCTAAATTGTATGTATTTATAGAGTAAATTGCTAAAATTTGATTTGAAATCAATAAATATATTGTAATGTCTAAAATAACCGTTTTTTCATTTTAAAAATTCAAAAGGAATTAATCATAATTTTTTAAATGTGATAAAGATATCCTTAAATACGGTACGGCGCGGTGGTGCGTTTTCATTGGTCGATTTTATTTCTCCTTTGCGCGTCACACTTAACACACTCGTATACAGAAATACATTTCGTCGCTGTTCTGTATAAGTTGCAAATACTTACATACAGTTGCTGATTCCTATGCCGATAACTTTTAGATATCACCTGAAGAACAAAGGTACGCAGCAGAAGACAAGATAATTTGTTTGTTGAAAAGATTTCAAAATGGTGCATCAGTTGGAGACTTCATCGGTATTTCATTCATCAATTCTTTATTATTTTTTACTAATTATTTCGGCATCCTTTCGTAGGTGCATACGTGGCTATATATGACGACAAATTAAAATTGGCCGATTTGATTCGGATATTCATTCATGGAAAGACTAAGCCAAAACCAGAAACAGAACAAATGATTTTGCACGAGAATGATTTAAAAATTTTAATTTATTTTTAGTTTATTTTTGTAAATTGTTTTCTTTAGATTTTGTGCACATTTTGCTCAAATTTTTCAATAAAATTTAAATAATTTAACATTCTTCATAAATTGTATTTTCTATTGATCGAATTTCGACTACTATGGGGTCTGTTTTTGCATTTTCTGAACAAATTTACAGTAATGAAGTTACAGTATGAAATGATTTACCATCAGGAAAAAGAGATTTCAAGAAACCTAAAACTAACGGACTTTTTTGAAAAATGGGGAACCTGAGAATTTTAGATTGAAAATTAAGTTTTTTTTTCGATTTTAGGTCGAAACGAGGTTTCCTCTTCAATATTTTAAATATAAACAATTACAGTAAGTTTGGGAGCCAAGAAGGGAATAAAATTCCACCAAATCTCGTGAAAGCAAAAAAGAAATTTGTACAAGATAAAAATACAAAATCCAAAAACTTGAACATTTAAATTTTTCACATAAATTTTGAGGTTATGCGATAAAAATCTATATGCAAAAGATATAGATATTTTCCTCAGCTACAATATTGCAATATAACATTTTTCTATAGGACTCGTAGTTTTGCCAGAAATCGAGATACACTGTTCCTAACCCATAAAAATTCAAGCACGCCTCTCCCCTTCCTTTTCCCGACGTTAGATCTCCATAAATTATTTTTATACTCTCGCAACATGTTGCTACAGAGTATAATAGTTTTGTTCACCTAACGGGTGTTTGTATGACCTAAAACTAATCAAGTTAGATATAGGGTTATGTATATATACAATAAATGAAAAGGATGAAGAGACGAGTGGAAATCCGGGTGACTGTCTGTCCGTCCGTCCGTCTGTGCAAGTTATGACTTGAGTTAAAAATGAGATATCTTTATGAAACTTGGTAAACATGCTTTTTGGTACCGTAAGCCGGTTGGTATTGCAGATGGGCGTAATCGGACCACTGCCACGCCAACAAAACGTAATTAATCAAAAACAAATAAATTGCCATAACTAAGCTCCGCAATAAGATACAGGATGACATTAGGGAGGGGCATCTGCAGTTAACATCTTTTTTAAAAAGTGGGCGTGGTCATTAGACCGTGGGCGTGGAACCGCCCACTCTTAGGTGAAACCCCTTATCTTGGGATCTGCTAAACCGATTTCAACCAAATTCGGTACATAACATTCCTCTCATATTTCTATGTTATAGTGCATAAATGGGCGAAATCGGATTACAACCACGCCTATTTCCCATTTAACACCATTTTAAATTCCATCTGATTCTTTCACTATCCACTATGCAAATCAAACAATAATGATTGTATCGGGGTAAAACTTTGCGTAAATAATGCGTTTATATATAATATGTTATAGTGCGAAAATGGGCGAAATCGGATTACAACCACGCCTATTTCCCATATAACGCCATTTTAAATTTCATCTGATTCTTTCACTTTCCACTATGCAAATCAAGCAACAACGATTGTATCGGAGTAAAACTTTGCGTAAATAATGCGCTTAAAGTATGCCACCTTGTGATTAAAAATTGTCTAAATCGAACCAAAACTGTTCAAGCCCTTAGGTACTGAATATGTAGACCCCAGTGCTTACAGTTGACCTTTTACCGGAAATATCGGTCAGTGTGTAAGATATATAATTGAAATTCAAGCAAAAAGCTTTTACAAAATAAGTGAAATTGTTTTAACATGTACTAATATTTATAAACCTAATTGCAGTACCAAAACCGTACTGTACATATTTATCAATGTATACTCTGCGTTAAGTGAATATTGAACAAAACTATAAAAGAAATATAGCAACATGACATCGTATTGGCAACCAAATTAGTTAAAGCACCGACCAGCCATTAAAGCATATTCCAAAACCTCACAATTCTTCATTGATTCACGTTCAAATTGTTATACAACTTTTATACTTGTAGGGCCAATTACTGATCAATTTTATTTTTAAATATTTTGCCAGAAACAAATGCGTGTGGCGTTACTAATTATTTTTTTATTTTTACACATATGCACCTTATGAAAACACATATTGTAATACTTACATTCTGCAATCAGAATTGAAATTAAGTATTTAATAATAATTATTATTTTATTTAAATTACCACAAAATGTACGGATGCACATGTGAGTTCAATAAACAATACGGTCTATAGATGTGAAACAAACATAATTTTATTTATTTTGTTGACACAATCGAAGTTCATTTTCAGCATGCACTTATGGACATAAGTACATGTCACAATATTTAATAAATTAATATGAACATACAATGACTTGTAATAACGGAATTTACTTCAAATGCCAATGAAATTTGGCAAATTGTTGTTTATGACATCCAAAACCAATCAAACTATCTATCGATATACCATTTTACTATTTGCACTTAACGAATATGTATGTATGCGTGCATATATTCAGGTATGCTGATGTAAGTTACGGGACTGATTACACAATATTTGGTAAGCGAAAAATATCAAACTTTCTTCATTATTTTGTAAATGAACTCAATCGTTGTAATGCGATATATACTTGTAGAAGCATCTTCTTACCGGAAATGGGTTTGCAATATCCGGCGCCGAAATTTAAAATAGAAATACGTCTACACTCATAGGTATTTTTTCAGTATTTATTTTCTAAAATATTATTAGCGCGAAAAAGACAATATTCAATTATTTATGCAGTTATAAATATTTAATGATTGTTAACAGTCACTATTCTTATTATAGTATTTTGATTTTTTTCTTAAATGAGTAAGTTATGCTCTTCATTGTTTACACCCCGACGAAAGTATGCACAGTTTAAATCTAACACATTTGCTGACCAGAAACTATGACCATGCCGCACTGTTAGTTATTTCATCTGAATTAGCTGCGTATCAAACTGCACTATAGCTTCGTGTCGCATAGCTTCGAGTCCCCTACTCTAACAGTTTTGGAAAAAGGCGTAAGAAGAGTAAAGTTCGTAAGCGGTTCCGCAAGCGCACATTTAATAAAGTTTAAATCCAATTTCTCCATCCCCATTCCACCTAGACATGCAACAATATTTTATCGCAAAAACAACATTAGCAATAATAGCATAGCACATTGCGATCAGCCACTACGTAACTCCAACTATGACCAAAAGTGTGCAATGTAAAAAGAAAAAAAGCATGTAATGCTAATAAAAATAAAATTAGTTTCGAAAAAAGTGAAGAAGGCGTCACAACAACATTCACCAATATTTTAGCAGCAAATATCGGCAACGGAACACACAGTAATATCAGTGAGTATCGGCAAAAATCCCAAACATGAATACATTGGTCAACAAATAACAGAGACCAAGCTAGCAACAACAAATACCTGTATGCATGCACATTCATAAGTATATAAGTATGTTAATGTAAAATGGAAATATATGTATGTATATACATACTTACATACTGATGTACATGAAACGGTGATGGTTGTTCGAACGGTATGTCAACATTTAGAAGTCAAACGTGCGGAAATACATTTATTTTACAATATAAGTATATGTATGTACATATATATGCTTACGCAGTATACATATCAAATTAAATAAATAAATTCATATGTACACCATACATAAAAAAATGTTTACAATAATTGTAAAATGCGTAATGTAAACAATAAAAATAAGTATATGCTTGGAAATCTGAGTACAGACGTGAAAACATTTGTTACTTAGTATCGACAACTGCCTTTTCGGTGCTGCCCTTTCCGTTTACACTCGCAACTCGAGCCGGACAACTTTCTGTTATTCCCCTTCATATCATTTTTTAAAACCCTTGTATAATTCATTTACGCGACGCACAAAAACATTTTTCATTAGCTAATTTACCACTTTTTTAAAATATTTCTATTATATTAACCTTATTTGTATACATATTTGCATATCGCATACAAAAAATAGGGCATAACATTAAAATTTCTAAATAATTTGTTAATACTCATTTGAAAACGAATGGAACTGTAACCACGAAAAGAATTTCAAAATGAAAAAGAATGCCGAATGTCGAATTGCGAAGCAGCGAACAGCTACAAAGAAGAACTCCAAGCATGTTGGCCGAGCACGAGAAACTCGGTGCCCTTTGTCTTTTCCCGTCGCTCCTTCGCCTGCAAACTGCGGTTTGCCGCAACAGAACCTCCCTTGTGTGAACAAGCACTAAAAGTATATGTACGGTACATGCATGGGCATAAAGGGGCAAACGTGCGCATATTACATATAAATTAAATATTTATGTATATACGCGTAAATATTTATATAATCAAGGGCTTACATTCATACATATGCATTGCAATACGTAACTCGTACTTTTGCGAAACGAGCTTTAACTTGTCAGTTACAGGCATGTGAATGCCCAAATGTGTATGTATGTTAAACATGCTTCAAGCTATGATATGAGGCGCATCCGTTAATGGGACTATCTTCTTTTAATATTGAAATTTGCAACAAAAAAAAAACGCGCAATGGTGACATTACTAAAATGTACGCATTGATTTCGCAATTTGAATATGTTATGATCATCTGATGAAATGACTAGAGTATGGGGTTAGGTGGAGACATGAAAATATTACAAGTTACAATTTTAAATAATTTTTTATTGCCAGTAAATTTTTTTTATTTTATAAAAGTAAAAACATAGAATCATTAAAAAAGATTTCGACTTGACTTGGCAGAAATTTTAAGAAAGATTTATGATTTTAAAAGTAATAGTTATTTATGTATACTGATTCAGTTCCAACCGAAGCTCTTTGCGGTGATTATCACTAATCCCTGGGAAATCATCAACTGTAAATCGGAAAAAAGTTAGCTTTCTTATAAGATAATCTAGTGCTTGGTCGAAGCTTTTTTAAACAAAAAAAAATGGTGTGTTCATGAATTTTTTTTCCAAATTTTCGGCAAAAACCCATAAATTAATTGTTCATAAAAAATCGAGATTAAAAAAATCCTTCGATCAGGCACCAGTTTTTCATATTTTCAAAAAGCTACATAAATTTCATTGGCCACCAGGCAAAGACAACGCTAAAATCTCTGAACAAATTTTGCAAATCGGACCACTATAGCATATAGCTGCCATACAAACTTCACCATTCAAATCAAGTTCTTGTATGGACAACTTTTTTATTCGATCGAGCTACATAATAATTGCAGCAGTACACAAACTGTGTTGCATATTTGCTGATACTCTGCTGATGTGCAGACAAAAATTTAGTGTTGCCGATTATTTGCATAAATTGAGCGCAAAATGTGACAGTAGAGCATGATGCTGTTGCAAGTGTTGCCAGAAATTCACGCAGAACGTGATACTTTGACAAATTTTCAACATTGCTATTGTGATTGCCATTTGAAATTTGGGATAGAATATTTTCGAAGACCACGTTACAATCTCCGAAGAAATAGTTCAGATCGGACCACTATAGCAAATAGCTGTCATACAAACTGACCAATCAAAATCAAATTGTTGTATGGAAACTTATTTCGTTGTAAAGGCTATTCCAGGTTTGGAACAACCGAATACAACGTTTGCTCTTGTTATACTCTCGCAACATGTTGCTACAGAGTTATATAGTTTTGTTCACCTAACGGTTGTTTGTATCACCTAAAACTAATCTAGTTAGATATAGGGTTACGACTGTCTGTCCGTCCCTCCATCCGTCCGTCCGTCTGTGCAAGCAGTAACTTAAGTAAAAATTGAGATATATTTATGAAACTTGGTAAACATGTTTCTTAGTACCGTAAGACGGTTCTGTTAAAAACGGTACTGTTAAAAACTAGTAAAAGAGAGACATTAAATTTTATCTCTGGGATGGTATGAGATGACTGTATAGGAACCGCGTTCAAAATTAAACAGTGGGCGTGGCACCGCACACTCTTAGGTGAAAACCCATATCTTGGGATCTACTTATCGATTTCCAAACCTATTTGGCATATAACACCATTTTAAATTCTATCTGATCATCGGGGTAAAACTTTGCGTAAAAAATTTAAAGTATGCCACCTTGTGACCAAAAATTGTCTAAATCGAACCAAAACTGTTCAAGCCCCTAGGTACTGAATATGTGGACCCCAGTACCTATAGTTGACTAAACGACCTATAGTTGACGAAAATATCGGTCAATGTGTAAGATATATAATTGAAATTCATATAGTAAAATAAATAAATGAATCTCTCGATAATATGTAGTATGATTTTGTGTCAAAAATGGATTGAATCGGATCAATAGTTCTTATAGCCCTCATATACCTAATATAAAGATTTTTGAACTTCTGCGTGACTTTATGCCGGCCAATATGTGAGTTATCTCAATGAAAATAAGAGAGCGTGTTTTACTCATAACATGGTATCTTTGTGCATCAAATGGATCAAATCGGGGGAAAATTTTACCTACTCCCCATGTAACTAATATCAGGATTTTCGAACATTTGTCTGACTTTACTCCTTTTGATTAGAGATGGTATGTGAGGTACCTTAATGAAACAGTTGGAGCATTTTATTAGGCTGTGGCTGTTAGCAGTATGTGGTATTGGCAAAAATTGATAAAATCGGATTAATACTACCCTCAACTTCCAGTTACTACTTTCTTTATCCTAACCAGTTTTATGCCGAATATGTCGGTCAGTGAGTATTAATATTTTTTTTATATATAAAATTGCCTCAAAATATTCTCGAGTATAGCAATGTCAAAATTAATAACTTTCTCTATTCACAATATATATATGATTTCCGTCCTTCCACCTGACTTTACACCGTTCCGGTTGATTAAAATGTGACATTTTAACGAAATTAAGTGGATAAGATTTCTTAAAAATTATGTGGTTTGACGCTGAATTAGAATGAAATTAGTATATACCTTGGTCTAAATCTCACAACTTCATATAATGTATTCCTATTCTCTGGTTGACGTTTGCCACATAAGCTTATAATATAAAATTTAGCCCCTTTGATAGAGTTAATATCACATTCATTCTTATGTATATCTCACTTCAAGCAATAAAACTGAGACTAAGTTTATGGCCTTTGATATAAGTCAAGAAGATACTAAATATGATTGCTATTTAATCACGATTTCTTTTAATAATGGATGTTTAATTCTTTCTCAACATTTTTTTAACATAAGGTTTGAAGGAATTTCCTGGCCTTTGATTCCTGCGAATTGCAAGAGTATTATAAATATTAGATAAACGATAGTTTAATGCCGAAAATGTATGAAATCGGTCCACGAATTTCCCCAACTCACATGTACTATTTATGGTATAATTTTTTTTCGTTAATTTGATAATTTAATGAAATTAAATGGACAGTTTTTCTTAAAAGTAATGTGGTGTATCTGCATATGAATGAAATTGATCTAGACCTTTGTTTAAACCCTATAACCCTAATATATTATATATATTATATATAAAAATATCTTTCTAGAAAAAATCACATGAAATAAATATTAGTAATGTAGTATCAAAAGGGCTAAAGACCCTTTTTATGTGGTAATAGATAAACTGCGTCCCCATCGGTTGAAATGCTACTGTCTATTATTTCAGTTTTGCGACACATTTTAATGTGAAGGTCATGAGATGCACTGTAAACTCCAGAAAATTACATTTTTACCCAGCGCCGTTGTCAGCTTATGAAAGGTTTAGATATTAAGACAGAAAGAAGAAAATCTACAAACCTGCTCTACATATGTGTATACCATACTTAATTATATGTAAGTTATTTTTACTTTAGCCTTCATGGGCAGACCTTTGAAAATAGGTACCATAGATCCCCCTGTTTTAAAAAGCGTTAGACAAAAGCAATTTACGGAGAGGTTTTCCGAGCACCTGATTTTAATACAATGAATTAAACTACTTATTTCTAAAATATAAATATAACTAAATATTATGTATTATTATGTTAGTGAATATCTAAGTAACATATTGATATACAAAAGCACGTAAGCTGTGAGTACAAATATATACCATAACAAAACTATTATATTCTGTAGCAACATGTTGCAAGAGTATAATAAATATCAGTACACCGTGTTTGTAGTTTCAGTTAGTGCCGTTTCACACAGGGATTCAAAAGAGTCTCATACCAGTTTATTGTGGGCGAGGGGACGACGAGGAAAGACGAAGGGACCGTGCCACTCGTGTTCGGGTGGCACGCTTTGTGTTCTTGTTCGTAACAGCTCGCTGCTACCCTTTTCAGCATTCCTTTTCACTTTCAAATTCTTTGAATGGTTGCAAGAGCGCTCGGTTTCAAATGTATTCGATCGCAAATTTGAGTTCTGTTATCTATTTTTGTATGTAATATGCAAATACGTATGCATAGAATAATAGAAATATTATGACAA